ATGTTATATTAAAACAGTGTGATGGGCAGGGGCAGATTATCACGTGGTTTTACTGGCCACCCTTGTATTAGCGTGCAGCCAATAATACAGAAACCGCTCTAGGCTCTTATCTTAGTTCACTGGGGCTGCTAAAACAAAATACTTCAGTTTGGGTAATTTCTAAGTGATAAACATTTATTTCTCACTGTTAAAGGGAAAGTCCAAGATCAAGGTGCCAGCAGATCCAGTGTCCAAGGAAGACTTACTCTTTGCTTCCAAGATGGTACCTTCTTGCTGTGTCCTCATATTGGTGAGAGGGCAAAAGGGATGCTGTCAGTGTCCTAATTCCTTTTATAAAAGCACTAATCCCATTTACCTAATCACTGCCTAAAGGTTCTACTTCTTAATATTTTTGCACTGGGGATTAGGTTTCAACATGACTTTTGGAGGGACACATTCAACTATAGTAGTGTTTTATGCTGGGACGTCTTTACTGCAGGGAATTTAGGGTGTTGGAAAGAAGATGGGGAAGGTACCTCCCTTCCAACTCTCTGAACCTGGTCCTGGAGCTGCTAAAGAGGGGCCACCATGGCCAGTACTTAAACCAGAACGGTGTCTTATTTACCTCAGGTAGTCTCACAATGGCAAGTTCTACTGGAGGCAAAACAAAAACAAAAACAACAAAACAAAAACTAGAAAGCGACTAACACATTTCGTTTGAAGTTAACAAGTTCTTTGGGAAGAAATTAGTGAAGAGGAACAAGAAAGCTAGGGTAGGGGTACATACTCTCAAATTTCAAAAAGGTGGTGTGGGAGGCAGGAGGCTTTGGGAAGAGTTTGGCCGGCTTCCAGTGATACAGTACAGGGCAGGGTAAGTAGGACCAGGGTAGGCTGGAGCCAACAGAAAAATAACCAGCACAACTTGCAGATGACCCTAAGCCTGCGTCTCTGGCTTGGACATCTCCCTAGAATTCCAGACTTGCGTAGCTAAGGGCCCCTTGTGCATAGCTAAAGGCCTACGCACCAGCGCTCCTTGCATGCCCACCAGACATCACAAGCCAAGCCCGCCCCAAGCCACCAACCTGCTCTACCTGCTCTCATCCCCATCTTCTTAAATGCCACCTCCATCCTTACAGTTGCTCAGAGACCAGAACCCTTGAAATCATCCACTTCTTTCTTATATCCGACTTCTACTCTAAGGGCAAACCCAAGTTTTGCAGGTGAAAGACATTTATTAAGGACCAACTCCCTTATGGATGGGGAGGAAGCAGGACTGGAAGAAGCAGCTCTATGGCCATTCGAGCCCAGCAGACATTCTGGATTGGGAATTGTCCATCAGAATATTACACACCAGGCTCAAATAGCCAGATCTTTGATGCCCCACCTTGCTCAAGCACAGAGTGTGGGCAGCCCCCGGAAGGAGGGTGCTGTCTGCGGCGGAAGCTGATCCCGAGGGAACTGACAGCTGGAGAATGTCTGCTGACCTTGATGCTCCAGGGACTAGGCAGGGAGCTCTCCCTGAAGAGAGTGTGGGCAGTGGGTACCTCACCTGTTGTCCACAGCAGGCGAGCTGCTGCTTTAGGGCCTGTGCATCTGCTCTTTTCTCGGCCTGAAATGCACTTCTCCTAGTGTTCACGTGATTTTTCTCCCTCGTCTCCTTTTAGTCTTTGCTTAAATATCACCTTCTAGGGAGGCCTTCTCACACGACCTCTGAGATTTGAGAGTGCGCACCCCACCCTCGCCTTCTTATTCCTCTCCACTCCTTCTTCTCAAAGTGCTTGCTATTTTCAAATGAAATACATTCGTTATTTTCTAGTTTTCATTTTACTTTTTTGTTTACTTCCTATCCATACCCATGTAATCACTGGAAGGATGTTTCTTTTTTTTAATTGTACTTGAAGTTCTGGGGTACGTGTGCAGATCTTGCAGGGCTGTTGCACAGGTACACACATGCCTTGGTGGTTTGCTGTCTCCATCCGCCTGTCACCTACATTGGGCATTTCTCCCAGTGTTATCCCTCCCAACCTCCCTGCCCCCAACCCCACTGTACCTCCCCTAGCCCCCCGCCCCCCATCCTACCCCAGTGTGTGATGTTCCCCTCCCTGTGCCCACGTGTTCTCATTGTTCAACACCAGAATGTTTCGTTTTGTAGTGTATTTCTAGCACCTATAATAGTACTTGGCACATAGCAGGTGTTCAAAAGTATTTGTGGATTATATGCTCAAAGGGCATGGAGTCTCAGAAGTTTGAGAACACAGTTTTAAGCACAGCTGTTTAGAGACTGTGGATGATGCTAATGTCTGTATTCCCAGTAGGTGGGGCAATTTTCAAACTGACCTGGAATTCTTGCGACTTGGGGACGGTCATCAGGCAGGAGGCTCTGTGGAGAGAGCTGTGCTGGTGTTTAGAGAGGAGAATGGCATCCTGGGGGACTCGGCCCCAGAGCTTTCCCATCCCAGTCTCTTCCCAACTGAGTCCCAGAGGCAGGAGGCCTTGTCTGTGGCTGGTCAGTCCTGTAACTGTTTCCCTCCCATCTACACAGATGCAGAAGGCTAAGAAAAGCAAGCTGTCAGGTAAGCAGGGGCCCTGACTCCTCCGGAGAAAGCACTAAGAACTTCCATGGGGCAACTGGAAAAAATGTTCTACTTCCTCACCAGCAGCTGTTGCTGGGGAAAAACACAGCCTGAGCCCCTATCCTGAGCTGAGGACCTTGCTGCCATTTTCCATATGCTACAAGATTACATCTGTAGTAATGCGTTGAGACAGGCATCGTCACCATTTTATAGATAAGAAACTTGGAACTCAAGAGAGGTTTAGTAATCTGCTCAAGGTCATAGGACCCTTAAGAATCAGATCCCAGCCAGGTGCGCCTGTAATCCCAGCATTTTGGACGGCCAAGGCGAACAGATCACCTGAGGTCAGGAGCTCAAGACCAGCCTGATCAATGTGGAGAAACCCCATCTCTACAAAAAAAAAAAAAAAATTAGCTGGGCGTGGTGGTGCACGCCTGTAATCCCAGCTACTGGGGAGGCTGAGGTAGGAGAAGTGCTTAAACCTGGGAGGCAGAAGTTGCGGTGAGCCGAGATTGTGCCATTGCATTCTGCCCTGGGCGACAAGAGAGAAACTCCTTGTCAAAAAAAAAAAAAAAAAAAAAAAAAAAAAAAGGAATCAAACCCAGAGTTCAAATACAGACAGAAGTGCCTGATTCCAAGGCCCCATTTCTTGCAGACCGCTTTGGATGCTCCAGTACACACCAGGGGATGTGGAGACAGGGCTGCTGAAGCCTGGGCCTGAATGTAGAAGAGAGTAACAGCACAGGGTGGGAAGCGCCTTAACAGAAGGAGCGCCGAGCACACAGGGCACAGCAAGCTGAGGAGGTGGGCAGTGTCCCTTCCTTTGAGTCTGTGGCCTTGCCCTGCTGGTTCATTGTGGCCCCTGTAGTGGAGGCCAGCCTGCTTATGCGACATCGAAACTGGAGATCACACACAACAGTGATTGTAATTTGGATATCCTACAGCATTGAGCCCTTCTGGAGATGGGTGGGGTGGAGAGTTCATTCTAGTTTTGAACTCTCTACTTCTTAAAGTGCTTCCATGTATGTATCATCTCCATGTCATTGGCATGTCATTGGCATGCCATTGCAGGCTGGCCTGCCTTTGTTTTCTCTGATTTAAAAGAAACAAAGACTTGTATGATATTTGAGACATAAAATCTGGGATGAATATTGGGTGGGAGAAACCGATATCAGGTTCTCCAACAAACTTGGATCCAGATGACCCCCACAAGGAGTCAAATGCAACCTTGTAGCATATGGAAAATGGCAGCAAGGTCCTTGTGTGGACCATGCCCAGGATCTAAACTAAGACAAGACCTCAGAGGGGCTAAGTGACATATGTCTCCAAAGTTTCACAGCTAGTGTGTGGCTAAATCTTGACTCCACCCTCTCAGGTTTTAGCATAATCACAAAAAAGGTTGAAATAAGAAATGTTACCTCTGGGCAATTGCCTCTTTCTGTTCCTTGTTTTATCTACTGATATTCTAGGCTTACCCTCTAGTCTGTAATCCTCATTGAACTGACAGGTCCCACATGGCCTAAATGGTTTTCACACGGGGTTGATGAGGCTCTCCCATTGCCTGTCCTACTATCTGAGCTACCTGCTGCTTGACTTTCTTTTTAGCAGCTTTTGAAACTTGGTATCCATGGCAGAGGCTTAAAGGGCATGTTCCAGGTACTTTTATTTCCAGATTCCCCAGTGGCATCAAGGAAATCAACATCTCTGGACAGCTCCACTAAAGCTTAGTTCTCATTGTCGAATTTAGCTCCTGGATCATGGGAGGCATTCAGGAAATATTTGAGTGTAAGAGTAAGTTGCTTTATCTCCAGAATATCCTTCCAAGGGCTCTGAAGCAGGCTGTGGAGTTCTGCTGGCCGACAACAGTTCATAGATGGCTCCGAAACCTGTGGTCTACCACCATCCTTAGTCAGTGTCACTGCCATTGTCCCACAAACGTCATTTGAGCCTAAACCCTGGAATAATAATTGGTCTTTACATACATACACATTGTGCTTTACAGTCATAGTAATTCTGAGTGGACTTTAAACAAAATAAATTCCGTGTCAGGTCTCACCAGCCTATGGGTTACAGATGGCGTTACCTTTCAGCCCTGTAAGGTGCTCCCTCTTTGAGTGTGGACATAGACTCACAACGAGTCCACTCCTGTTGTTCCTGTGCTCTTGCTGAGGCTGCTGCTGCGGCTGCTCTGCAGAGGCTGGCCAGCTATGGGGCCAGAAGCACATTACCACCTTGCACGGTGGCCAGGGTGTAGTTGGAAAGGGATGCTTAGATGGGAGGCCAGTGGGAGCTGCTCCAGGAGGCAAATCCAAGTCACAGAGATCGAGTCACAGAGATCACAGTAAACTCAAAAATCCCTTCCTTTATTTAATAACTGATATGCTGTCACTGGATTAACCTCACCAAGCCTTGTTTTGTCTTCCCTTAGAGTGATTTCTCTCTTGGAAGGCTCTTCAGATCCTTCTGGAGAAGGCTTCTAGTGAGTCCACAGATAGCTGGACCAGGCATGTCCAGAAATAATCTGATTCTCACATTTGAGTTGGCCAGTGTTCCCAGCTGTAGCCCCATTTTGTGTCTGTATAAGTTACTGAAGCCCACAAGGATATTAGGTGGTTCCTGATGGCTCCTTAGTTTACTTTATGACTATGCCCTGTGTGTGTGTGTGTGTGTGTGTGTGTGTGTGTGTGTGTGTGTCGGAATGGGTGGATTGTACTCTTTACCTGTGAGGATTCTTAAAATTTACCTTGTGACTATACCGTGTGTGTGTGTGTACAGTGTCAGAATGGGTAGATTGTATTATTTGCCTATGAAAATTCCTTCTCTTTTGCTCTTGCCATGGCTTCTCTTCCCCATTGATGGGCTGAATTTTCCTGTCCTTTTGACTTTGGGCTTTAGTCATGTGACATTTTTGCCAAGGGAATGTGGGCAGAAGTGACTGGCAGCCAGTCCCAAGCTAAGGCCTTGGGAACCATGGCGAGCCTATGCCAGCCCCCTTGGAACTCCTTCCCTTGGCCCTGAAGAAAGAATAACCTGGACTGTACCTTTAGCCCACGTCCTAGGATACAAACATGGAGAATAATGAACTTGACTCAAAGCCTGAAGGACGGCTGAGCCTGGATGAGGTCAGTTGAACTGCAGCTACCCACAGATCTGAGAGTGAAATAAACAAGTATAAGTCTCTAACGTTTGGGGTTTGTTATGTAGCATTATTGCAGCAGAAACTTAAATAATACTGGGGGCTTCATATAGTGAACCAGAATGGTAAAATGATAAAATGGCTGCTTATATCACAACCTTCATCTCTGTTGATGAAGACTAAAATTGAAGTGGCAGTTACTGAGATCTGGGAGTTATTGAGTTGTATCATGGTTATTTAGAATCATTGACAGTTTGAGCTATAAGTGATTACAGAGATGAGCAACTCCAGTTTCCTCAGCTACAGGTAAATAAACCAAAGCACAGAGAAGTAAAGTGACTTCTAGAGGGTTTCACTCTTGTTTTCTTAATTGGGATTTTGGGAAATCGTGCAGAGAGATTAGCAGCAGTGATATGGAACAATGTGAGCCTCAGCTTCCCATCCCTGAGGCTGTCTTCATCTTCCAGGAAAATGTCTCTGTGTGCAGCCTTGCCCTCTGCACACAGTATGTATGGACACCTGAATAAGTTTCTTTCATAGAAACTCACAGATTAAAATGGGTTCTAGGGCAGTGCTTCTAAAAACTCTATGTATAAATCATCTAGGAGTCTTATTAAAAATGCATGCAGATTCTGATTCAGTAGGTCTGGGATGGGGCTTGATATTCTGCACTTCTAACACATGGGCCACACTTTGAGTAGCAATGTATTAGATCATCCCAGTGGAAATACGTATGAATGATGGAACGAACAGGTATAATTAATCTGAGTAAGATAAGAGAGGTACTGGTACATATTACATTGAAATGAATTTCATCTCAAAAATTATGGTTTCACATTGACTTTTACTGCCCCCAAATTCTTCCTTTTTGAATGGTTTCAAAATGAACTGAGCCAGCCAGGTTAAGTCCCTGGTTTGTTGTGTGATTAGAAGATTTGATCCAGCTTTTGCTTCTTCTGATTCTTTAAATATGCAATGGCCTTCTAGAAACTTGCCTCTCAGGCTCCGCATGAGCCACCTGTCTTACTATCCTCCACTCAGGTTGTTTCCTCGGTCAAGGAAGGAATCAGGGACCAGGAAAAGTGGAAAGTTTACCTGACAGTGATAAACTTTTTGCACTCCTATTTGTTCACTTCTAAAATGTGGATATTGCTGGGGCTTCTAATTAAAATCTAACCTGAGATTCAGGCATTTCGAGCTACATATGACCAAGTAGTAGGTCGAGTTCACTAGAAGGCTATTTTCAGGAGAGCAGTCAGTTAACTTGAAGAAAACACATGGGTTGGGGAGGTTACCTCATTAGCAATAGCAACGTTTTTGAATCAGAGGAGTGATTTTGAACAGGCTGTACATAGTTTTTCACTTAGTTTTATCTCTGGGTCAACCCTTATTGGACCCATATTACAGTCATTTACTGAAGAAAAGGCAGGTGTCTTTAGGAAAAGAGCCATTTATTCAAATGTTCTGTTTGACATTAGGACACTGGCAAGACCACAGAATCAATAGATACTTAAAAACAGTCTGGGTGCAATAGCTCATGCCTGTAATCCCAGGACTCTGGGAGGCTGAGGCAGGTGGATTGCCTGAGCTCAGGAGTTTGAGACCAGCCTGGGCAACACAGTGAAACCCTGTCTGTACTAAAATACAAAAAATTAGCTGGGCGTGGCAGTGTGCACCTGTAATCCCAGTTACTCAGGAGGCTGAGACAGGAGAATCAAAACAAAACAAAACACCAACACACACACAAAAACACAAAAGTGTGGTGAAAAAATGCTCTCAATAATTTGAAAGCCTAAATGAAAGAGGCCAGTACACATCAAAGAAATGGAAATGGCATTCTAGAGTCTGCTTTTCCTAAAAGCCCTAGATGGGGGTAATTTTGCAGATGATTATTATCAAGCTTTCAACAACAACACAAATTGTTTCAGAAAGAAAAGAACAAAAGTTGCTCAATTTACTGTATGAGGTGAGTATAATTTTGATTTCAGAACCAGAAAAAGATAATAGTAATAGACAATATAGTGTCATTTCACTTATGGATGTGACTAAAGATGTTCTAAATGAAGTGTTAGCTCTTCAAATCTAACAGTGTATTAAAAGTATTTTTGTGGTCCTGTAGGATTTGTATTTACCCTACAAATACAAGGAAGGTTTGGCATTTAGAAAATTGGTCCCTAATTCATTCCATTAATAAATAAGTAAAGAGCCATATGGTTATCTCCATAGATGCATAAAAAGCATTTGATAATATTTAAGTCTATTTATGAAAATTTTTAAAAATTAGGACTAGTAGTAAAAAAGTAATTCTTTAACCTGTGAAAGGCTATAGATCACAAATATATATCAACCATAAAACCTAACAGAGAAAATTTAAATTTATTCTCTTTAAGATCAGTAACAAGACAGAAGTTCTCATTACTATTTAATGTTGTAGTGGAGATCCTGGAAAATATTTTGGGATAAAGAGGACTGAGAGATGTAAACACTGAAAAGAAAGATATAAAATGATCATAATTTGCAGATTATATTATCAGAACAAAGAAAGATTAACTATTAGAACTAATAAGAATTCAGCAAGGTTGACAGAAAGAAGGTAACATAGAAACAGCAGCAGCATTTCTCTCTGTCAGCAGTAACCAACTAGAATACATGATAAAGAAATACTACTCATAATAGCAATAAATACTGCATATATCTAGGGATTAACAACCAAAAATACACAAAACCTAAATGAACACATTAAAAAATCTTATATAGATTTTCTGATATAAAAATGATATAGAAGAGAATCTGAACAAATGGAAATGTTGCAGGAGAATTGATCCCAGGACTGCTATGGATACCAAAATCTGAGAATGCTCAAGGCCCTTATATAAAGTGGCATGGTATTTGCATGTAACCTATGCACATCCTCCTGTACACTTCAAATCATCTCTAGATTATTTATAATACTTAATATAGCATAAATGCTATGTAAATAGTTGTTATGTTGTATTGTTTAAGGAATAGTGGCAAGAATAAAAAGCACATACTTGTTCAGTACTGATGCAGCCATTCTTTTTTTCTGAAATACTTTTCATCCACAGTTAGTCGAATCCACGGATGTAAAACCCATGAATACAGATGACCAACTGTATTATCAAGTGCTCATATTACTCCCAAATTAATTTATAAGTTCAATATGATCCCAGTACAAATTCCAGTTGAATTCTTTAAGAAACTCAATAAACTTATTCAAAAGCTCTCCAAAAAGCTAAGTCAATTTTGGAAAGAAAGAGTAGGTACAGAGACATATTAATTAAATCAATTCATTAAGGGGGGTACTGATAGGCTTAGGGCTTCAGAATATTATTTATTTTTTAAACATTGTCCAAAATCTTATTGCATTTAAATCTTGTGAATAGTTTAGAAATTCTATTGTTGAATTAAACACATTTGTTATTACTCTTTGTTTTTCAACTATTTTACATGATTTGCTTTGAAACATCCCTAAGAATAGAGAAAATCTAAACTTTTAGGAATTATCTGAAGCCATAAATGCCTTTATATACTTTATATGTACATAGACACATTGTTTTACAGATATTTATTTTCTGGCCAGTATAGTAGGTAACTTTTGATTAAAACTGGGGAGTCTCAGATTTTTAAGGTGACCACTGTTTGTTTTATTTGGAGAAAAACAAGAAGAAATTAAAAATGTAAATCACCAATTGGAGATATACTAAAGAATTTCTCAGTTTGGATCTACCTATCCTGATAATTCTTCTCTTCTTTAGCCTAAATATCTTATTTGCATGCAAAATTAATAAAACAATCAATGTGCCAAACCAACTCTAACAGTTTACTGTAATACATTCATTATGTTTTCTTTTTTTAAAACTTTATTTTGAAATAATAGTTACTGAAAAAGTTGAATGAACCGTGGCGTTCTCGGTGAATATACCATTCACCCCGATTCCTCTAATGTTAAAAACTTAACCATAGTATAGTGATCTAATCCAGGAAATTAATACTGGTACAATAGTATTAGTTAAACTATAGAATGTGTTTGAATTTCACCAGTTTTTCTTCCTAATGTCTTTTTTCTGTTTCAGGATCCAATCAAGACTCCCACGGTTCCATTTACGCATTTAGTTGTTTTATCTCCTTAGTCTCTGCCAGTCTGTGACCGTGGCCTGGTTTGTCTTTATGACCTTGGCCATTTTGAAAGTATTGGTTAGTTGTTTTATAGAATGTTTCTCAGAACAGATTTGTCTGATGTTTTCCTTAATTGCATTAGGATTCTGTTTTTGGTAAGAATACTGCAGAAGTCATGTGTCCTTAT